ATCACCTCAAGACAACTCACACATAATGTTTTATCACATTTTCCCCAGCAAAATGGCATATTAAGAAATGGTTTAATTTTTATTCACATTCTCTTTTGGGAATATAGAGACATTATCTCAAATTATTTCTCCAAAGAGATAGAGATGAGACTTCTGTACGATTCTAGTTCTCAAATCATTTTAGGCATTTTATTTCATTTCATCTAAATCTCTTGGACAGTTATTTCCTTCTACATTTTCTCATATCGCTTAAAAATTATATTTTACTTGGTTAGAGGCCAAAGAATTACATCAAAAAACTAAGGAATTATTGGGAAAAAAAATTTCCATTAGCACAACCATAGTGATGAGAAGAAATTGGCTAATTTCAGTATCTTTTTTCAAGCTCTTCATAGAAAATTGTTGAAATGTGTCTTCCATAAGTAACTGGCATTCTGAAATTGATTTAAAACTATAATAGGAAGAAAAGCTACATTGAAAAAATTAAATCTTAGAACCAGAGATATTAAAAAAAAAAGAAAGAAAGAAAAAGAAAAAAAACAAGTGTCATGCCTGAGGATTCCAGACACTAGCCCTCTTTTTTAGCTGCTCAAAGTGAGGAAAAGAGTTGTATATCTGGTGTGGAGGGAGAGATATTTCCTTTAGTTCTTATCATACTAAAGCCTTTATAGTACATTTTCTTGATACTTCCAACTATTTCCATGGGGGAAGTTACAGGTTCCCATTCTCTGGTGGAAGGGCCACCCACAGACATCGAGCAGATGAGAATGACAGAAGTGCCCACAGCTCCCAGGCCACCATCTCCTCCATCTGGCTCCAGTGGCTTTACCACCCTCCCCGACATAACTGCATGAGCTCTCTGTTCCTTCAAAACGCTAGAGCTCTGGGCCTTTGCACATCTATTTCTGCAGCTGGAGCACCTCCTTGACAAGCAGACCTGTACCTGGCTGTCTCCTACCCACCCTGTCGGAACCTCCTCCTTCTGTTCCAGGAAACACAATTGGCAGCACGTGTTTGTGAATGAGTGAATGCATGCCTGAATGCACATGGTACAGGACAGAGGCTCTGTTCTTACTCTTTGCAACTCAACCAAGCGAAGTCAGTGTGAGGGCTAGAAGCGCTTAAGGAGTGGATGCCAGCGGCTAGGCAATCTGACTGGGGAGGGCTAGGAGGAGAGAGTAGAAAGGAGACGGGAAGAACAGGAGCAGAAGAGGTTGGAAAATGGAAGAGTAGTTGGAGTGTCAAAGGAAGTTAGTTAGAAGGGGAGAACCAGAGGGTAAGCAACAGAGCTAGAGTCCAAAATAGAGACAGAAATTCATAGATTTGTTCTGTGGCCCAGATCTCACTACCTAGCTAGAGCCTTCCTCTTTTCTCTTTGCGGAGTCATCGCTATCCTTCCTTTGGACAGAACATCCTTCACTTTCACAGGGAGGCTGCCAATTCCCATAGAAATCAATATTTTACATATCAGTGCACCTGCTGACATTTCGTTCAAATTGTTTTTGTTATCCTTTCCCACTAGTAGTTGACTTTGTAAATGCAGGACGACAGGGCCTATCTTTTTCACTGTAATAGCCCTAGCACCTAGCACCATGAAGGCACCCATAATAAATGACTAAACATTTGCTGAAAGCACGAAGCTTTGGAAAAGTCTTCTGGACTGCAGGGTACTCATCTGTGTTATGAGGGAGTTGGTCTGGCTGATACCTGGACCTCGTTCTAGCACTGGTCTCCTATCAGTTTTCAGCATATGGCTCCCTGTCTAAGCCAGAAACAATGTAAACCAACAAGACGTGGATGTTTTCAGGCTGTGACTGCCTGGGAGACTGTTTACATGGGATCTTAAACAGGGCCTGGGAGTGCAAAAAGGATGGCGAGGAATAGGCCAGTTGTCATCACCAGGGACCTCAGTCCTCATTATTAAGATAGCAAGAAATCATTTCTATGGAAAGAAGGAGTTGCCCATAAATCTATCATGGACATAAAGGTTTGCTGATGAGCCATGGAAGTTTTCTACAAAGATGTTCAGTGACAAGCCTGTTCTTTCAGAGTGATAAGGAAGAATGATCCAGAAAGGAAAGAGT